CACTTCTTCGGATGCAAGCTTATGCACTAATAAATTTGTTAGTCTCTAAGGTGCCACAAGTCCTCCTGTTCTTCTTTTTGTTGTATGATTGATATTCCTGTTACCCATAGAGATGTCCAGTTCCCCTTTGAATCTTGCTAAGTTGTGGCCTCAGTGTCATCCTCCATCAATGAGTTCCACAGTCTAACACCGTCATGTCAGAAAGGATATTTCCTTTGTTCAGTTTTGAAAACAGGGAAGGGAACCCAGGAGTCCTGATTCTCAGCTTCCCCTGCCCTAGCCCACTACATTTCACTGCCCTCAGAGTCGGGAGTCCTGACTCCCAACTGCCCCCAACACAAACACACTCTAACCTCCCCTCCCAGTCCAGAGCTGGGAATGGAACCTTGGAGACCCGACTCCGAGCGCCATCTGCTCTAACCATTAGACCTACTCTCCATCCAGAGCTGGGAACACAACTCAGAAGTCCTGACCCTCATTCCTACTGCTCAGACACACTAAACTCCATTCCTTCCAGAACTGGTAACCAAACCCAGGAGTCCTGTTTCTCAGCCCCTACAGCTCTAACCACGAGACCCTACTCCCCTCACAGAACTCGGAATGGAACCCAAGAATCCTGATGCCTAGTTTGAACCACCAGACCACTCAATTACACCAGTATAAATCACGACTGAAGGGGTGACTACAGCTTGAGCAGTCATACCTGAGCTAGCTTTACTCTCGCTAGCTCAGGTACCAGAGCAATACGTCAGCACAGGCTGTACAAGCCTGTCTGGACCCCTGGGTCATTAGTCACAGGACTATCCCATGCTGAAGCATGTGCTGCTGCAGCTTCACTGTTCTGGGAGCCAAGCTAGCGAGATGAAAACGAGCTGGGGCACGTCTGCTCCAGTTGCAATTGCAGCCTCTGACTGCAGCATAGACCGACCTAACTCGGCTGCCTTGGTTGGATTTGAGAATCTGTCTCCTTGTCCCCATGCTTTGTGTTAATAAAATGCACATTTTCATGTTAAAAAAAAATATCCAGTTAACAGGATCAAAATGTGGCTCATCCGGATCCATGTAGGGTTTAAACTCCACCTAGAACTGGGGCAAAAGCATCTATTTACTGTACAAAGAAAATACCTATGTGAAATGCTGTCACAAATAAACAGTTTCTGTTGCACTTGGCAGTGTTCTTTTTGAAGGCAGGTTCTGCATTCTTTGGAAGCTAGGCTCAGGGTTCAAGTACAGACGCTGGTTCTGGTTACATCCTCAGTCTCTGGGGTGCTGGGGGGAAAACACAGCCATCCCATACAATCATACTCTGCTCTTCTCTGTGCTCTCAAAGGGCTTTTTGCATATTGCTTAACCAAGCCTCACACCCTCATGGAAGTTAGGTGAATATTATTGTACCTGTGTGTGACAGGGTCAGGCCAGATGGCTACAGGAGAGTGTTCCTATTGGGAACCAGGGAGTGGGTGGGTGGAGCTCCCGTTGCTAAAGGACCTCCCCACAGCCTAAGGGGAGGATCCACAGGCCCTGAAAACCAAATAATTCTGGGGGACAACTAATGAGATAAGAGATGGGAGTGAGGTGAAAGGGTCAAACAAAGGGAACCTGACGGTGACACCAAGCAGAGAACCCCGGACAGCGCCCCCCGCTCCTCAAAGGCATCTGAGGAGCCAGCAAACGCCGCCCAGATGCGTGAACGGACAGAGGATCAGAAATAGGCCCCACAGTCACAGGAGACTCATCGGTCAACCTCCTGTCCCTGGTTTTATAGATGGCCGTTTTAGCCAAGGCCAGGAGGAGGTTGACCAGGAGGTCCCGTGACTTTGTGGGGCCACAGATAGGGAGTGCATAAATAAAAAGGTGAGGGGAAAAGTGCAACCAAAAACTTAACAAAATATTTGTGAGGAGCTGGAATAGAGGCTGCAGCCTGGCGCACTCCAGGTAAACGTGCGCCAGAGTTTCCCTCACGCCGCAGAAGGGGCAGGTGTCTGGGATAGGTGTAAACTGCCCCATGTACATGCCCGTGCTCACGGCCCCATGAAGGAGCCGCCAACTGATATCCCCGGCGGGCCTCGGGACCAGGGCGGAGTATAGGCTGGCCCACCGGGGCTTCTCACCCCCTAGAGGTGGCAGGAGGTCCCGCCACTTTGTGTCAGGGCGGGACGTGAGGGTGAGGAAGTGAAGAGTGTGGAGCATGAGCGTGTATAGGTGTTTCCATGGTGCAGTTTGGAAGCGGACCGGCTGTAGATTGTGCAGTTGGCTCATGGTGAAGGGGCGGGGAGGCCAGTTGGGTCCATGGGGCAGAGGCCCGCTGAAAAGGTCTGGAGGGCCTGGGGTGGAGGGTGGGCAGGGCGTGCCCTCTCCCAGGAACCAGTCAAGGTAGGCCCAAGCTGCGGGAGCCAAAGCGGCCCACACCTCCTGAAGTACACGCTGGGGAGTACAAGGCCTGGAGAGGCCCCCCCCCCCCATGCGCTGAGCGAGCGTCAGCGGATCTAGCCAGTCTCCCCGGTTGTAGTCCAGGAGGTCTCCGACTCTGGTGACTTCTGCCAGGACCAACCACTGGCTCACCGAGGGGGACTCCGCCACCTGCACATGGAACTGGGGGTTGTGTAGCAGGGGCTCCGTGATGAGATCTGCTCCCTCGGTGGCCGCCATAGACCTGGTTACTGAGAACAGCTTTCAAGTCCGGAGGAGGTCCTGGTAGAAGACCGGCAGCCTGGAGATGTCTCGCAGAAGATTGCTCGGATGGTCCTCGAGGGCCCGGAGCTCCTCCCACTTCTCCTGGCACGCTCTGCAGAGGGATGGATCCTCGGGGCTGGCAGCCAAACGCCTCTCCAGATCTAAGACCTCCCATTCCAACTGCTGTATCGCCGCATCCCTCCGTCGGCTGGCGCCGGGTGTAGTCGCAGCAGAAGAGCCAGGCGCACGCACCTTCCCCACGTCCCACCACTGCCACGCCAAGGGAAAGGCGCGCCTCTGCCCTCGCCAGGCCAGCCAGAACTCCCAGAAGGATGCCACGAAGCCCACATCCTCCAACAAGCTGTTGTTGAAATGCCAATAGGCCGGCCCCGGCCTCGCCGCACAGAGAGCGGCCGTCACAGTGACTAGATGATGATCCGAAAACGGGGCCGGCCGGATGCTGGAGGAGTGGGCCCGTGAAAGGTAGAAGCGTGACAGATAGATGCAGTCCAACCGGGAGTGGCACGACTGATGAGCCGCCACCCAAAAGTGAACGTTGAGACGTCGTTCGGGTAGTGGTCGCGCCAGACATCCACCAGGGAGTGACGGTCGATGATCTCCCGGAGGACGTCTGCGGAGGCCAGGCACTGCTCGGTCCCCAAGCGGTCCCGCTCCTTCAGGGTGATGTTAAAGTCCCCGCCCAGGACAAGCACTCGCGAGCATCCAAAGAGCCGAGGAAGGCGGACTCCTGCTGATAGAAACGCAGCCGCTCCAGGTCCAATGTCAGGCCATAAACGTTGACAAGATTGACCATGAGCCCCTCCATATGAACCTGGAGGTGCAGCAGGCGGCCCGGCACAGCCTTGGTGACCCCCAGCACTTCAGGCCGTAGGTCAGGGGAGAACAGGGTCACCACTCCGGCCGAATTGGTGGTGAGGTGGCTAAAATAGACCCTGTCCCCCCACTCCAGCCGCCAGCTGTCTTCAGCAGCCGGACCCGTATGGGTCTCCTGCAGGAAAATCACAGAGTACCCCCCCTCCTGAAGGAAGGGCAGCACCTGGCTCCTGCGGAGTCCCATCCTACAGCCCTGGGTGTTCAATGTTGCGAAGATGATAGCTGCCATGAGGAGGGCTGGGGGGGATCCTTGCCAGCAGGGTCACTCATGGCCCCTGTCGGGCCACGCAGCAAACCGTGACCTACCCCGTAGGTGAGTAAGGAGTCACAGAAGGGGCAGACCCGCTGATAGGCCATGGTGCCCTGCTTCCTGGTCCTTTTACCCTCCCCCATGAGGGCCCTCGCAGCCCAGAGGATTTGATGGAAATCCCACCATCGCTGGAGAGCGAGCTGCACATTGTTATGGGAGCCACAGATGTCTGCAAGGAACTCCCGCAGTTCTTCTCGCAGTGTATGGGGGGGGTCACTGGACTCTGGATTGCCTCCGGTGGGGCCCCTGTTGAAGCCCCGTGGCCTACCGAGATGGGAAGGCAGGGGGCGGACCCCCAACGTGGCACCCGATGGGCCGGTGCCATGTGGCCCGCCTCCCACCCCGGCTCAGTAGGGGGCGGCAGAGGGAAGATTGCAGCCCCTAGTCGGTCGGGACAGGGAAATACAAAGGCTGTTCCCTGGGGTGTCATCCTCTGGAAAAGGGAAGGAGACAGCCCCAGGGGCAACAATG